AATAAGAAGTAGAATGTCCCTGCCTAAAAGCTAACTATCTTAAGTGACATCAGACAAAGAGTCTTGATATCCGGTCAAAAATCTGGTGTTTGGCCTCGGCTTTGTGCCTTAATCTTTTAGAATGCCTACTTCAATATTATTTCCATCATCTTTGAACTTTGGCATGGTTGATATTTATGTGGGTATAAAGGTTATTCTTATATCAGTCAACAGTATCACTGATAAGAAAGAAAGATATAATTTAGTCTTGTTATTATAATACGAATATTCATTTTCAGATATGGTCAGGCATTTAAATGTAACCTGAGTGAAAAATCTCTGATTTATTTGTTGAAATTCTATCAAAGTATAAGTGTATATTAGTTATTGGATAAGTAAAATGCTATAGTAGGTACTGGTTGTTAAAGGTTTATTTTATGTGCAAAATCAATTCAAAATAAAAAGTCAACTCAAATAATTAAAAGTGATTAAGAACTTTCAAGCAGCTAAATAGGGAAATAGGTTGACAGTTACTACAAATATAAAGACTGTATTAGCTAGATAACTTAGGGAGAACTTTTTAGTCAATACATATTTATAAAAATTTAAATAATACAAGGAAGGATACATAGAGATTTCATCATAACTCTGCTCTTTGTAGAAATGTTTAGTGTACCTAGCATTTATAAGTTAAAACCAGAATTTAATTCTTATTTAATTCCATTTAAGACGTGGATCTTGTTCATCTGCTCACCTCAGCTGAAATTTCACTCTCAATAGTCACTGTAGGAAACTCTAACAGCTGATAGTGCTGGAAAATTTTGTTTCTATATTTGTATATATCGTTAATATGTTAAACTTTATAATTTTAGCACTAATGTTTTAAATAAGAATATTAAAATAATTTAAATGTTGGCATAAAACTTTAGGGTTTTTTGTGTATCCTAGAAGTTTACTATCTGAAAGTGATATTTTTCAGCAACCTTGACTTCAGTGAAAATTTAAATTTTCAGCCCTTTGGCATTTGGCTGAAATGTGTATTCACTGTACCTCCAGTGGAGGCATAATGAGGTATGAAAATATGAGGCATAGCAAAATTAATTCCAGCTGATGGCATTAGGGATGTTTGAGTGAGAAAAAGGCATTTGAGATGGACAATGAAACATGAGGCTTCTAACAGGCAGAGATGGGGTGATAGGGAAGGACATTTCAAGCCAAAGAGTTTGCTTGAATCCTTTCTATAAAATGATATGCCCTAGCCATGGTGTTTATCTTCTCTGATTCCTACCTCCCACTGCTTTAACCAACTCCAAGCTCCCAGAATGAAATCCCTTACCTTTGAATTTCAAATTTATGTCTTTAACTTAAGTTTTCTCAGCAACCCTATAAAATACATTTTAAAAAATACTTAAATATAGAAAGGAAATAATTTCCTAAAAAAACCATTTGATAATAAGAAAACTGCTGCTGGCATTAATTTGTATATGATGATTCAGTGTGACATCTTTATGAGTTCCTCTGCCTGGAAATTTAAAGGTAACAATAATTAGGGCTTGTAGTACATTAAGTAGAGTTCCAGTGTCATTTTATCAATCACTTTCATTCTAACCCAGCCCTGAAAACTAACAGGAACTGTACTCAGCCCCTTATTCAAATATTTTACCTAACAGCCTCATATTTATCCTCTTTAGTATGTTGAATTTAAACTGTTTTCCATTACTTGAAGTGAGATTAACTGTATGGTGGGGGAGGGGTGCCATACTGCTTCTATTTCAGAGGATCACCTTTCACTGAATAGACATCGCAGTAGTCAGCTTTTGCTAGGTCAGTCTATAGCCAAAACAAACCTAAATCTCGGTTGACTTCCTGCTCACATTACATGTCAGCACCTGTGTTTGGCTGAGGGTCTGATCCATGTGACTTCTCATTCTGGGACCCAGGCAGAAGGACCATCCTCTATTTGGGACATGCCATTCTCTTGGAGGGAGAGAGTAAGCTCATAAGAGGGAAATAACAATGACTCTTGAAAGCTTTCACTCAGAACTGTCATATTGTCACTTCCACTCACATTTCATTGGCTGCCTTTTCATGTTTCTAAGATTTGTGATTTGACATTTGTGATTTGACAATATGACATTTGTGTGAAGAAAAAAGGAAAAACCCATTACCAGATTATAACCAAGCCTGAAAAATATCTATGGGGAGGCGCTGCAAGTCACATGGCAGTGGGAAGAGCTGTCTTTTCCTCTAGAGGAGAGCAAATATTTGGAACAATATTCCAATCTACCATAGGCATTTAGTAAATTTACCTTTTCGCTTATTTGTGTAAATATAATATTCAGGTTTCCCTCTTTTTTTTTTCCTCTTCAAGAATTGTGTTTTTCTAACTATAATGAAAAAATGGCAACCCATAAAGTATAGTCCTTTAAAAAGAAGGCTCTGTCTCCATTTTAAGATGAGTTTCACTGGGTCTTGTCCTATGGAGCCAACCTTCTCACAGCTGGTGTTTATATCTGCATCAAGTCACTGGCAAACCCTCTGGTTCTGTGTCCCAAAGTGAGAACAAGAGGGGGACGGATGGATTCAATATTCGTTTATTTCCAAATATTTATTTGCAGATGCTAGGAGTAAAGAGGGAAACAACACAAAGTCCTTTTTGAGCTTACACTAGCAAGATGATATTAGGTAGTGACAAGTGCTGCAAAGCCCAAAAGGTAAGAAAAAGGGAGAAAGCCAAGGTAAGGTGATCATAGAAGGCCTTTCATAGAAAGCCTTTGAGCAGAACCATCATTCAGATGAAGGCGCGAACCATGAGTATTTGGGAGGAAAAGCATTCCTCCATATACTTGGCAGGATTGAGGCAGGAATATACTTGGTAGGATTGAGAAATCTCAGGAAAGCCAGTGTGACTGGAGCAGAGTGAGAGAGTACGTTAAGAAATAAAATAGTCATGTATGGTCTTGTAGGGGTAACTTGGGATATTATTTGAAATGTGATGGGAAGCCATAAGTGGTTTGGAGCAGGAGGGTGAATTGATCTGATTTGTTCTAAAAAGATCATCCTGGCTCCTGATATAGAATAGACTGTAGAAAGAGTGAAAGCACTGAGGAAGGTTCTATTTTATACAGTTGTATCAGATACTAGGATGTTATTCTTACCACCTCTGGGCCCGTGTGTAATACTGAATGTACATGGATTTAGGAGATTCATGTTTGTAAGCCTTATAATTACAATATAACATTTGTCTGAAAAAAGGGGAAAATCCAGCACCAAATCACATTATTTCAGAAAAAAAAAAAAAAGGAACTAAAATAAGATTCAGACATCTGTTAGGAAAAACAATATGAATAACTAAAAAAAATACTTTTAATATATGCCTAACACCCCATATTGGAAGGTCAGGGAGGAAGTGTATAGATTAAATCAGTCAGGCACTGAATTGAAAGCCATTTCTGCCTAAAAAGCATAGCAAAAGGAACCACATTGCAGAGGAAAGTCCCTCTGCAGATCTGGACGGCCATTGTCCTCTGCTTTGCTTGTTCAAGAACTCCTTTTTGTCAGTTTCTCCCTGAGCGATGGCCCAGAGGTGTAGCAGGAATTTACAGGAGACTTGGGAAGCCAGAATACCTGCATATGAACTTATAATGAAAAATAGAACTATGAAATTAACCCAGATATTAATTTTATCCAGTCAGAGTACCATGTCCCTGGACTGCATTAAAGAATTTTTTTCATATACCTTGGACATGGTCACAGATCATTTTACTTTAAAGAATTTGATGAGGTTGAGAAGACACATCAGTCTGATCATCAGTGGAAAGCACACTAGTATTTGAGTCAGGATATCTGTACTTTATTTCTGGATCTCCAATCACTGTATGCCCTTGTGGAAATTAATTTTCTGAGTCTTAGTTTTTCCATTTGTAGAAATGGAAGATACTAATATATTATTTGTAGGGTTATTTTGAGAATTGGACGAGATATTATATTGCAATTTAGGACGATTTTTCTTAAAAACTCCAAATCATCAGTTATCTTCATTGCTGGGATCAGTTGCATGAAATTCCAGGGTGTTTACCTAGGATACTCCCTGCTCTGAATGGAAGAAGTAGATGCCGGGAGAGATTTAACCATTAGTCAGTCGGTTCCCACACTGAGTATAGCTGGAATGTACCTTACGGTGGCACTTCAGTCCTCTTCCTGGCTGCATTTTTGAATGAAGGTCTATCAAAACTGAGCATTACTCCTCAGAAAACCTCCCAGTGAGTGAGTAAATGAATGAATGGAAGGCCATCGCTGTTCCCTCTCCTCAGAGCTCAACCTGCACAAAAGGCACCCATGAACTGCTCTCTGAGGTATTCCCACTCTTTTAGGCCTCCCCTCCAAACTACCCATCTGTCCCAGTGCCCTCCTTTGAGCAGCGCCCTCCCACCTTAGCCCAGCTCCACAACCTAGTGTAGAGCTTGAAGCTGGAATGCGAGGAGGAGATGGGGCCGAAACTGAGGGTGAATATAATGACTATTGCCGCGACATCATCCCTGGTTGCAGCCCTAAGGAAATCACTAGGGTCACTGCGCCCTTGAGACGACATCTGCCTGATACATGCCCCTCTTGTGTCTTAGCCTTTACTTGTTTTCCTTTCTATTAGTTTTTCATGATAAGTTTAAAGGACTCGATGTCATTCATATCTTCGTATTAGCAACCAAGGGAACATACAATACAAACCCTGCCTTATAGATCTCTTTAGTAAAAGTCAAAGTAAAGAGAAAATCTATGCCAAAAAGCCTCTAGCTGCTGCTGATAGCTCACAGAGGGTCGAGGTAAAATATTTCCACAAATGGAAAGCGTTGTCCTAGGATGAAGTAAGGCTTGGTATCCGTAGCGTCTTCGAACTTCTTGCAGGTTGTAAAGACCAGGGTCTATGCTGAGCTTTGCCCTCCGTGCTCGAACTACAACTCCCAGGATACCCTGCGACCTGGGAGTGCGCAGGCGCTTGGGTGGAGAAGGGAAACCGGCCGCACCGACGGCGCGGTTTAGTTGGGGGAGCTGTTGGCGTGCGGATCCGCAACTCCCTGGGAGGCAGACACAGGCGGACCGGCGGGCGCTGGGAACCGAGCGACAGGCAGTACCCGCGGGTCTCTGAAGGAGTCGGTGGTCCCAGCGGGCAGCAGTCAGGTAAGTCCAGCCCGGTGCTTTCCAGGAAGTCCGTGTGCGGGCAGAGAGTAACACCGGCCATGGTGGCTGGGGAGGGAGAGGCTGCACCCTTCCAGCTGCTGGCCCCAGGCTCCTTCCCTACGACTCCCTTTAGGAGAGCGGGGGACGCTAGGGGCCGCCTTGGGGAGAACGGGCCCGGTAGGTGCCGTGGGGCGCGCTGGGCGTCGCCCGCGGTAGAGGCGCGCGAACCCCGAGTTGTTGATGAATCACTCGGGGGCTGGGCCTCCCCAAGTTCGAGACCGGCCCTTTCCCCTCCCGCCGCAGCCCGCGCCGGCCGCAGCAGTGCGAGCTCGCTCTTTCTACCCGCCCCTTCCACTCCACTCAGGCGTAGTCATCTTAAAAGGGTTTTATCACCAATACTCCTTCAACAGCTTCTTTCTGCTTGTTGAAAGTTGGGGGGCGGGGGAACCCTTAGGGCACACCCTTTTTTTTTTTTTTTTTCCATCGAAATCTAGCTTGTCTTGCATTCGCCGTTTTGCTCTGTTCTATCTTAGAATAAATTCCTGGCTCCTGTGCAGCACAGCTGGATCCGGCTGTGAAGCTCGTGCATTGGTTTCTGTTGAGGACGTGACTGGGTCGTTATATTTTTGCCTACGGAGGTTGGTATGTTTCCTCTGCAAGCCTGAGTTCTGATTATAAACAAATGGGAAACAGCCGCAGGGTTGTGTTTTTTTTTTTTTTTAATTGGTCTTATGTTTAGTTAAGAATCGCATTTCCAACTTGCCCTTGGCTCTTCTTAAAACCAAAAGTCGTAATGAACACTGCAGTAAAACTTAGCCCAGGAGGTCATACTTGAACAGGAAATAAGCCTGTGGAGATTTAAATTAGTTGTGTGAATTCTCCCTTGGTTTGTAACATTTTCATTCAGGTCATGTTTCTTTTTCTGAGAAATCTTCGCGTTAATTTCGGCAGATTAACTTGATTAATTAATTGGCCTGTCAAAAAAATATTAGGCTTAGAAAAATAGTTTTGTCCAGCCTCATTTATCTTTGCTGGTTTCTTCTTCCTATAGTCCTAGGCACTTTTTTACCTTATCACTTCTTAAGAGCCCTCAATCATTTTATTATCATACTTAGAATCCCCTTTCTCACACATTCCTATGCAAGGAACAAAAAGGGAATGACAACGTTAGATTTCGGTATATTCTATTTCAATCTGCTTACTTTTTAACCTCTTAGGATTTCTAGTTTGCTCATCTCTGTCCCCCCGCCCCAGGCTATACTCTTAAAATGAGGTTGTTGGACCAGATGACTCTAAGGTTATTCCAGCCCTAAATATCTCTGATTTTAAAAAATTCATTTATTTTATTCATTCAGGAAACATTGGCCACATGTGTCATTCCAAGCTCTGTGCTAGGCATGAAGGAACAAAAGTGAGTTTTGGAGGATGTTACTGACCTATTGCTCAGTTTCCTTCCATCATATTTTTATGACTAATTTCAAAGTTCTGTGATATACCCTTCAGGCTAAATTGCTCAGTAATTAACTTCATCTAAGGTTAAATGTGTACAGGTCAAATCCCTTTATAATGATCAGTTTCACTCTAATCAGAGATTTTTTCCAAGTCTTAGCTACTGGTCCGTGTAAATAAAACACACTTGTACAACAGAAAGGACTTGAATGGTGTAGGGGGAGGTACTTCTCAAACTTTAACATGCATAAATTATCCAGGATCTGTAGGTTTGAAATGGGGCTCTAGGATGTCAGACAGGAAATGCCGTAGTTACTGCCAGAGACCATGCTGAATAGCAAGGGTTGGGAGATGTTCTAAAGGTGTTCACAATGACAATTTAAAGACCTGTAGTGATAGCTGTGATATTGACAGCAATGCCTTTTTTCCACTCTCAATTTAAAAAAATAATTCTGTTCACTCTAACAAAAATAATTGCTTTCACGATAAGTTTTTTTCTGTTCTTTTTTCTCCTCTCTCTTCTACCCTCCTCTTTTCTCTTTCCTGAATCCTCTCAGTGTTTTTTCCTCTCTCGTCCTCTTCCACCTCAACTATTTTCGTGCTCATTAATTCAGTAATTCACTAATTCAACATGTGTTTTACCCTATCCTGCACACTGTCTTAGGCTGGTGGTGAATACAGACGTTAAGACATGATTTTTTGGGGGGGAATTTACTCTCTTTGAGATTAGGCATGTGGACTTACTTATAGTGCAGAATACTGTAAAGAGCCATATGTAGAGAGTGAATAAAAATGGTAGGAGTTCAGAGGGAGAGATCTTTTACAGTTGTGGGATGGGAAACAAATGAAGTCATCTTTTTTCCACTCACTGGTCATCTCTGTCCCCTCAGGCTATATACTCTTTGTACTGTTTGAGTGTATGTGCCATATCTACAATAGAATATTTTATTTGGAACCCAGGGTGAGCTCAGTATATGAAAATCATTTAGATCTGAGGGAGGGTAAGAGGTAGTGGGGGTAAAAATATACTTGGATAGAGACTGACAGAGAGAAGGGAAAAAGGAAGAAGTAGACAGGAGGATCCTGGAAAACAGTAGGAGATAAGGGCCCAGTTGGTTTTCAGGTGTCAGTCTGATGTACACTGCTATTGTTATTTAGGCTGTGTTATCAACTTTTAAAGATCAAATTAACTGGCAGACTATTTTCGTGCTTTTCAGTTCCCCATAAATTTAAATGTGTGAGTTCTCTCTTAATTAAAGTAGTTGAGGAGAGCATTATTATCTAGGCTATCATAGTGATAAAAGCACTGTTGTCCTCCTGTCATCCACCTTCCTTGCTGACATTTGATTTATATGTCTTAGTTTTATTTCAGCTCCTCTAAAATTACAACTATAAAATAATATTGAGAGGAAAATGGTATAGCAAACAAAATTCTACTGGACCTATCACAGTCCATTAGGTACATATTGAAATCCTGAAGAATCAAGCTCAATTTGCTATTTATGAAAAATTAAACATAAACATGTATACTTATATTTATCTACTTATATATGTCTGTTAATTCATTAGGTTATTTATAGTAGCAATGTTTTTGAGGTTCCTATGTGTTGTTTTATGTATCAGTGTTTCTTTTTATTACTGAATAATATCCTATTGTATGATCTCTTTTCCTCTTGATGGATATTTGGGTTATTTCCAAGTTGGGCTATTATGAATAAGGTTGTTATGAACAGTCTTTTATTACACATCTCTTGTGAGTATATATTTTTATTTCTCTTGATAAATACCTAGAAGTGGAATTACTGAGTCATAGGGTAGATGTATGTTTAACTTTATTAAAAAACTGCCCGTTCTCCAAAGTGGTTATATCTGAGTTCCATTTGCTCCACATTTTTAATGTCACTAATTTTTAGTATTGTCAGCTTTTTTTATTTTAGCCACACTAGAAGATGTAAAATGGTACCTTGTTATGATTTTAACTTGCCTATTTTGGACATTTCCTATAAATGAAACCATACAATATGTAGTCTTTTGTGACTGTCTTCTTTTGCCCTAATACTCAGTTCATTTTGAGAATTACTGAAATATAGGCAAAGGTCCTCCACAGGTGTGCACACTTTTTGACCTGTAAAGATATTACTCTCTCTGGTACAAATGCTAAACACCTACACCTACTCACTAAAGAGGGAACACAAACACACCAAGACAAACTTACGAAATAAGGTAACTGATGCACAGAGATAACCCTTTATAATTTAAGAGTTTCATATCTGGGCATATCTAAGCACTGATATCACTGCAAGTATGCACAAGTGAACACAGTTCTTAAAGTGTGTACGAGAAAGTGGATGAAAATATGGTAAAAGGAGGAAATGAGGGCTGAGAGGGATGAGTGTAATGGCAAGTTAAATTTATTCAAAGTGTATTCTGGTGTTTAAAACAATTCGTAGAGGAATTGTCTGATGTGTGTGTGTGTGTGTGTATACATAAATATATATATATGTATATAGCCTATTGCATAGCAGACCCTTTGAGCAGGATATTAATCAGTTATAAAGTAGGGGATTTGCACGTGGAAAAATATAACCAACAAAATATTTTGGTTTCCTGAGTGTGGTATTATCATTTTAATGAGTTGTTAAGTAATGTTTCCTTAATATACATACTAGTGAAAAGAGAGGAGGCCTCTCAAATGTATACATGTAAGTCTGGCATGTATTCAGGCAGCCCTTACCCCAAGATTTTTTGTTCATGGTGGATTCAATTTCATATTCTTAAATAACTGCTCTTTGCTCTTTTCCTTTTGTCCCCCCCTTCCCCTTTGTTTTCTCTTTAATATGGCCACTAGGGTTCTAGACCTGCTTGGCAGGTGGGCGGAGGTGGAATGGGGATGCAGCAGTGGGTAAGGAATCTTGATTCAATTGGGAAATGTTAATTATGTGATTCTTTGAAAGTCAAAGTCTCCCAGTCCCTCTATCCACATCCCTCCTACCATGTTTTCCTGCTGTTTGTCCTCAAGATTTACAGTTTCTTAGAGAAAATCACAGAACCATACACAGAAATAGACCAGAATAGATTTGCACAGTTTCACCTCTGTAAGGCCTGTGGTGCAGCTTGGCCCTTCTGTTAGTCATCAGTACACCCTCTGCACTTGCCTCTCTTTTGCCATATTTCTTGAGCCCCCATTATTACTCCCTGTAAAACATCTCACGTCCTGCTCTATGACATTGGATAACACCTCGAGTGAATTTCTGGGTATGGTTTGCTCCCCACCAGAGAATAGGGCTTGTCACTGCACTCAGTCCTTCAGCATTCCCTCCTGCCATATCCTCTTTTCTTCCTTGCTTTTTCCACTGCCACAATCTTAGTTCTGGCCTATATCTCCTTTTGAGTAGGACACCAGGGACACCTATTCAAAGAAATGTTTGAAGTGGTCCCTGAAAGATGTGAAAGGATTTGAACATGAGAAGAGCGGGGAGAGGGGTATTGTATATCAGGTGTAATAAACAGTATTATCTGAGGGCTGGACACAGAAAAGCATAGAACTATATTTACTTCTTTGGTTATAATATAGGCTGTATGAGGTCACTCCTTCTCCTTTACTTTTCTTCCTCTCCTTTCCTTGGCTCCCTCCCCACTTTTACCATGTACTTTGATCTGTTTGCTTAGTATATACTTCTCCTTCCCCCTCTATCTATCCTTCCCTGACCACCCACAGTGATCTCTGCAGTACAACTTTTTGTCAGTTATATATCGCCTTGATTAAAAAAAAAAAACTATGTGCATGCCTCATTTTCCTAAATAGAGTGTATTAGTCAAGGGTCTTAGGGAACACAAACCCACTTAAGCTAGCCTGCAAGAAGGGGTGGAGGCAGGGCTGGCAGTTGTAGGGGTTGTTACTGTAAGGTGACGGAGCTCCCTGAAATGAACTACAGCTAGAACTCAGAGTTAAGTGCTTGGAAAACCCCTGTCCTTTCTTTTTCTGCGGCTTGCATGGACTCTTCAGTTTCTTTCTGTGCCTCTGCTCCATTCTAGGACATTAATTTAGATTTTTTAAAATAGTGTGCATCACAGCATTATCTCGATTACTGAGTTATTTGGTGCCTTCTTAAATCTTGCACCTGAGGCAAGTGCCTCCTTCCTTCACCCTAGCCCCAGCCCAGGTCCACTCTCTCCTTTGTAGACTGGCTTTCTCTTGGCTTCTGCTTTCCCCTTAGCTTCTAGCTTAATTGTGACTTTGGCTTGCTGTATTGCTCTCTCCAGATTGAATGATATGTGGTCTCTCAACTGAGGTGTTGTTTCACAGCTTTCCAGATTCTTGGAGAATTGGATTTGATCTGTCTTGCTTGGGTTGGGGAAACCCCTGTACCAAACATCTGTGAGGAAGGGGCATTGTATGTGGTTGCTTAGGCTGTGTACTTCACAGGCCTGGGATAAGGGTGGTCCCAGATAGTGGGGCTTAAGGTTGCTCATGCCCAAACATGCTTACTCTGATGTCGGCGGTCAGAGGGAAGTGACCATGCCTTATCTTTTTTGTATCTGTACTATGTCTAAAAGATTAACAGCTAAAAGGTAGGTGTGCCTATTACTTGGATCTGTTTTTTGTTTTGACACTGACCATTTGACCATTAGGATTAACTTTTGGGCATAACAAGGTAATCAGAGCAATATTTTTAATACTTAAATTACTAAAATTTCTTTTATCATTTGGAAGATTTCCAATTTTAGAGCAAGTTAAATATTTTAGAACATTTCTGAAGTTTATGTCCTAGTTCAGAAAGAATACAGGAGCAGAAAATTGATAATCAGTTAAACAAAGAGTGATAATAGGTGTCCTGACTCTACCCCCCAGCCCAATTAAGATATGGTAAAACCAGGTCTGCCCATCATTGATCTCAAACCTTGCTGATCCTCTCTCGTTATTTTAAAATACGTTTATTTAGTATCTACTGTCTTGCAGGCACTATGTTGGGCTGACAATATAAAAATAAATGCCTGCCCTCAAAGTCCTCACAGCTTATGAAGAAGATATTTATACAACTGATTATAATATGGTGAAATAAATGTTGATAGAGGTGTGGGCAAAGTGGTGACTTAGCACCTCTCTTCTGCTGTTTTGTGTACATCTATCTCTCAATTTTTGTATTCTCTTTGTTTAGCCTTCACCCAGTCTCTGCAATTAATTGTATTATACGGGTCATAGTATAGTATTATCTCATTTACCTAACATGAACTAATGAAGTATTTCTTTAAAATGAACTTTGAAAATAATAATGACTTTATAAGCTAACATTTATTGAACACTTGCTCTGTCAACTGTTCTAAGTGATTTATATGTATTAATTCATTTAATGGATTATTATGTTAGTCTTATGTGATAAGTACTATTATTATTATCATTTTACAGATAAGAAAACAGAGGCACAAAAAATAATTCACCATCTTGTCCAGGATTACAACAAATCCAGTAAGAAATTGAAATTTTTTTTAAAACTATTTTAAATGTCATTTTAAAATGTCATATTGTAAACATTTTTCCTGGTCTTCTTAAATGGAATCCTCTAAATTTAATTTAACCAAGATGATTTGGAGGCTCTAGAATTTAGAATTCATTGTGTGCATCAGGTATTACTCTGCGCTATTGAATTCCCTTCTGAGATTGTTGCAAAGTATAAGCTATTAGTAATCGCATTAAATTGGCCCATACTTTTGTGTTTTAGTTATTTTATAGTTTTTGCTTCTCTTTTGCCTCCACCTGTTGCTTCTTATCAGTTATTGTCACTTAAGTTATTTGCTTCTGTTAATGTGTACTGTATGGTAACAAAAGTAATAATATGGTAGGAAGTATTTTATAGAGGCAGTGTGATATAGTGTAAAAAACATGGATTCTAGGGTCAGGTTCAAATTCACATCCACTGTTGAGACTTTATATATCCTTGGGCAGGCTGTTTATTCCTTCTGAGCCTGTTTCTTTGTGAAATGGGGATAGTTGTATTTTACAGAGTTATTATGAGAAGATGTATATGATAAAGTACCTGGCATATAACTGGTATATAATAATTGATTCCTTTCTTTTCTGTTCATTATATTGGAATATGGGATATGGCCTTTATTAATCTGAAAAATTGAAATAATCTGAGAAACTCAGGTAAACTTCTAAGATGTAAGATATAGACAGTTTAAATAATAGTTTACAGTTGGTGTCATAGTGTTAATTTTGGAACTATTATCCTAACTGTTTTGGGGCCTTATACTAAGCTCTTAGCAACCTCCTCTCCTTCTCTGCATTAAGTTGCCTTTTACTTCTGTGGCTCTCCTAATTTCCTTTGTTTGCTATTAAAGGAAAAATGTCTTTTATCCCTTTTTAAAACAGACCTTATGACCCTAGGGACAGCATGCCAAACTTCTTGGCCAATAGCAGTGATTTCTCAGACTTCCTTTCTTTCATCAGTTCTGCTTTTTTCAACTATCATGTCTTAAATAATAATTTTTCTTTCTACCTCCAATCCTTCCACTTCTTTTTTCCTAGAAACTATCTCCACAAGCTGTATGGTTCTCATTATTTCAGCAGTTTTATATGTTTGGATTTTATTGTATATGTGTATTTTTCAAAGGCTATATTTTGGTAGTTTTCATTATTTATAGCGAACTCTACTGTCTTAATATCATGAAAAATGTCAGTTTTTGTACTGGAGATTTTTGTGCCTTCTATTTTGAAATGCCAATAAAAACCTCTGAATACCCTGTCCTTACTGGATTGTTGGATGCTTCACCACATGCAGATATTCCAGGTCAAGTCACCAAAGTTTCTTTTTTAAACAATTTTATTAAGGCATAATTTACATATCATAAAATTCATCCCTTTTTAAGTGTACAATTCAATAATGCCAAACACCTTTTCCAATCAAAAACCCTTCAGCGCTCTCTTTGGTCTATAAGAGGATAATTATCTTGCCCTTTCCTTTCCCTTTTTGTTCCCAAGACCACTTATGGGTTGTATGGATGTCGCTTCTGGCTGCCGCCTGGTGACTTACAAATAACCCGTCTGTTGGTTATTGCTTCAGTTATTCATTCTGGATTTGATAATACCTCATTAAGAATGAGGTTCTGTATAGTTGGCATACAAGGTCAAACTGGTGGAGCAGTGCCATTTACTTGAAGAATGGATCCCTTCTGCCCGAATGACTGAGGGAGCTCATTCTCTCTTAGGTAATCTTCACCTGATGAGAAGTACATCCCAACTCCACGGCATACCAAGTTTCTTGGATTGGTTCTATGTTCCCCACCTTCCACATGAGACAACAAAACACATTATGCAAATTGTAGGCAGTTGCCTCTTCAACCATAACTTTCTGCATGTTAGTCTGAAAATTAATTTAATTGCTATAGCAAAGCTTTATGTCCCCAGTGAAACCAGTGGTATCCCTAAAAGTCACAAGTGTGCTATTTCTCCGAAGGTGTGTATGAAATGCCTTCACCATGTAGGAATGAAGCATGGTCCATTGAGAAGCATGCAGTCATACTAGTCAGGGCACCAGAAACCTGAATCTATGGTAAGTATTGGGGCAGAATGGCATGGTGCAACCTGAGTATTGTTGACTTTCAGAGTAGAAAAGAGAGTAAGGTTGGAGGAGCTAGGAAAGGCTTTGGAGGGAGTGGATTTGAGCTAGTCTTTGAAGGGTGTGCAGAGTTTGGATAGAATGGAGAGGTGAAATTTAGGGATGGGGTAGGGAGGATTGTTGAGGAGAAGTGCACACCATTGTGGGAAACAAATGAAGCCAAGGGATAAAGCTGCACTTAGGATACTTGTGAGACCCTGAGGAAGCCAGCCTGTTAGAGCAGAGGATTCCTAGTAATTCTTATTAAAAGTAGAAAGGTAGAATTTTATCAGGATCACCTGAGAAACTGTCAAAACACAAACACCTAACAAATAAGAAAAATTTCTAACCAAAGGAATGAAATATAAAAGCACTTTCAGGAAGCATAGGTGACTATGCTCAAAATCTTTAGAGCAGGAAAACAGGAGCTTAGAGTCAGGCAAGGAGTTTGTCCTTGGGGAGAGAGCTTGGTAAAGCATTGTTTTTACTTCCTCTCTTTATGAGGCTTTAGAAATTTTACTTGGTACTGAAATGTTCCTGGGAAGGGACAGGGTCCAGAGACACAAAACTTCAAAGGCCTGCATAGAATGTTGGAAAAATTAAAGTTATTTCTCTTAATATTTTCTTAGGGAAAAGAAAAAAACATTCCAAAACTGGCCGCAGTCCCAGTTTCAGAGTTTCAGTTATACAGGGGCTTTGGTTTCAAGCTATGGAACTTGGGAGAATATATAAGTACATATCACTTTAAATGATTTTTGCTATTTGTCTCATAGATTGTTATTTTTTTCTTAATGTTCTGAAATTCTTCTAATAGGACTTTTTGATGGCTGATGCTTTTTGTTTTGTTTTTCCACCAAAGTACTTTTTGCTATTAACTGGGTGTGGCATGCATAATTCAAAAGTCAGAGACAGTACTGTTTTTTTTCATACACAGCATCACAGTGCAACAAACAATTGTGTTCTTTAAATAAAAAATAAAATAAATACACATGATACAAAACCCAAAAAGGGCTACTGGATATATAGTGAACACTGAGTGAATATTCTCCCTGTATCTTCAGCTCTCCAGTTTGTCTCTGGTTCTTCAGGATCTTTCCCAAGGCACTTTTTAAAAGTTGAGTGATCTTAGACTTTTAGATTTAGAAGGATCTTAGTGGTCATTTGTTTACTATTACTTTTTTTTGTGATGCTAGAAAAAAAGTGGGTCAGATTTCAGAAATGGATGTGGATGAATAATGAGGTTGGGCAGCCCCTCTAAAATTCCTTAGACTATCACCATCTGAAACTAAAGCCTTTACGAAGCCTGTTTCCCTAAGCCCTCTTTTCTAAATTCCAGATCTGTTTTCTTTATTATAGAGTTTTATTCCTAGTATCTTCCAGTACTGCTCTACTCTTGAGTGTCTTGGTTTCCGAATTGAATTAAAATAAAGACAGTAGTTACATGCTTTAAATTCATTTTGAAAAGAGAAAATGAAGGCAGAAATGAATGTGCTACTTTAGCATTTTTACTGTATTAATAAAATATTTAATTTTGTGATTAAACTTTACATTCATTTCTATGGTTTATGATGTGTTGCAAATTCATGTTTTTCATAGAAACATTTCTAATTTTATGGGAAAACAAAATGATTTGTAGAAATTTGCTTTATTTGATGACTTTTTTCAGTAAAGTGTTTATTAATATAGTCATTCTACTTTAACTTTTTTCCTCTAGTACTTAACATTGGCCCATGTTTGACTTCAGTACTTACTTTTCTTGTTGTTTAATCTATCTGTTCTGGTTTTTCAAGTCATTTTCCTGAAGAATTTCACTTTATTGTTTTTGTGCTTATCTAGCATGATTCAGCTTTCATTTTTTCCTTTCTGCTTAAACATTGTTGATCTCGGCAGTGATGAGGGCGTTACTGTTTTTTCTAAGGTTGGGTTAAATAGCATTTCCTTAAGATCATAGACTGTTAGAGGTAGAAGAGACTTTGAGTCCATTGAGCCCAAGGCTAAAATGAACAGGCCTTTGCCACTCCTTCTCATCTGTTGCTGATATATAGAATTGCTAGAGGATAGGGTTCTGCATACCCATGGATGTAAAAAGAGAATGGAGAAAGTGAAGAGACATCCCAGTGATGGATTCTTTTAGTGCACCACTTGGGCTATACTGTAATGATGAAAGGGGGCAAGAGAGAGGGTATGAGGGAGAATTAGATTTACTTTCACTGTATGCCCAACTTTGCAGGTCACCACTTTTATAAAATGATAGAGAGAAATAGTGTATCAAAAGAATATTTAAAAGTACTAAGTGTGTTCTTACATTTAACATTAAATCTACAGTTATTGAGTATTACAGTCTCTGTGCCCTGTTTGTGCAATATCTTTGATTCTGATGGTCTCTTAAATTCCAGTTTGAGAAACATTTATAAAGTGGGGTGATAGAGCAAGATTCTGTTCTATGCAATTTTTTCTAATTCTTTTCCTCTTATTCCCATGGTCCCTTTCATCTCCCCATGCCCTACCCTCACCCCTAGTAAATTGCCCCCTCTCCCCCATAACAGTACATTAAAGAGGCACTTAGTAAATGTACAAAAATACATATATCGATTCGAAGATGGGGAAATTAGTAGGGTTGAGTTTTTTGGAATGAAGGAAAAAATTAGGTCAGAAGCCCAGGAATTCAGATGGGATGAAACTGAGGAAAGATGTTACCATTTACTTTTTGTTCATTGCATGAAATTCAACTTGCTCTTAGCATGATTTCTTTTAGACCTAGCCTAGTTTATTTTAGGATTTTGTATATATTCCAGTGCTTACTAAATAAGAAAATTTTGCAAGAGGAAGAATGAGTCATAGCGATACTTCCCTTTGGGAGAAAAAGAGAAAGAACACCCTCAGATTAGTCTCTCCATTATATACTTGGAAGGGATTCAGCATTTTGATTGATGGCTGAGCACTGATAAGCTTTCCCTGCAAGCCATCTCATATCATGTTTGGTTTTGTCCACAGTATGACTGGTAGAGAAGACTCTTATGTTAGCTAGCAAAGTTTAAAAGCTATGTAACCTTATTACGCAGAGAGACTCATTCATATGCTATGTTTTTTTATTTTAAGATATTTTTGTTTGTAACAACTTTTAGAAAAGCTTCAAGATTTCCTGATCACTCATTGTATTAAACAAATCAAATAATAATAGAAGAAGAAGACTGATAAACATTCGATACTGAGAAATTGGGTATGCTAAGGGTGTGGCTCTTGTGGCATTCTTCTTTGGTATATACAGACTAGGTTCCTCTCTGACCTTGCCTTCTATCTCTGGTGCTGCAACTCCACCAAGAAGAATAAAAAGAGGGAAGTGAGCTAGCACTGAAAGATTTGAAGTGGTGTGGGTAACCTGTTAACTATTTTCTTGTAATAGTCATAGAAATGATCTGGCTGCTTTCTTCTTTAAAGTTGCCCTTAGTAACCTGCTTCCAATTAAATCTCTTTGTTTTGGCCCTAACAGGTTTTTCTGGGCTGCCCTCAGACTTCAGACTTTATTTTCTTATCTTACGTTTTTGCCATCTTTAGATCTCATTTTAAAAATTCAGGATGGCATCAGTAGCAGTGACAGGGAAGATAGGGCTATTTAGCTCATGTCACACTTGGGTTGGTTAGTTTCCAAGGCACTTTAACACAGAATAATCAATTACCATTTTCTCAAACTTCTCTGTGCAAAGTAACTAGCTCACTCAGATGGGCCCACATTTGGGTTGACCATAGCATCCCAAGAACTCCACAAAAATCATTTAATATACTGTCTCTTAGGCTTATTGTGTGGAAGAGTCAGTGAACCAAACAAAAGGATAGATTTAGCATCCAATTTATTTCCTTTAAGAAAAGATCTTATTTACTCTAAAAGTAATACCCACTATATACAACTAAAATAAATGGTTTTCATTTTTTATTAAATACTGTATAATAGTGCTTTGGATACAGTGGACACAAGTACTTTTTTTTTTTGGTTATAATTAGTGTTATCTAGAATCATAAACTTAAAAAAAGGAAATGACCTTATGAGACTTAAAACTCCCTTGCATTTGAGGAATCTGCCACATACTGTTGCTGACAGATATTTATACTCAGCCTCTGCTTTTAAGAATGCCAGGAATAAATAGATGACTTTCTTTACTCCAGCCTTCTCCATCAAAGAATGCTCCTCAAACCAGCGGAGATGAAACTCAAGGTTAACATTAATAAGAACGCATTTAGGTGCTTTAAATGTTAAAATCTCCAAGCAGAAATAACTTATTTTAAAACTATTTCCAGATTAATTCTGAAGCCAGGTCCAAACAAAATGAAAAAAGAAATGTTGATTTGAATTTTTTAACCAAAGCAAATTGAAGCAGATACTTATGAAGCTATTGGATGGTAAACCACATCCAATTTAAGCGATTATGTATTTATCCAGAGGGAATATTTTGATCTTAATTACTATTATCTAATATATATCACCATTGAAATACTTTTATTTAAAAATAAACATGTAAATCACTAGAAGTTTTTGCCATGAAAAGATATTGAGACTACCAGTCAATAGTCAATATCTGAAACAAAAAGACAAAGCTGAATTTAATACTATAATGAGGGAGAGCTATGCTACCTAGGCACTGTCTCTGAGCAAAGGAAACCAGTTTCTTATACAGAGTTTTTGGGAAGCGTGGAATTCCCAAACTGGCAAATTTTTCAAGTCTATAGTGACATCATCTGTAGAAACATGATTATTTGGGTGAGTCTGTTGATTGGTTGGCTAGCACTTAGAGAAGTGATTATTGGAATGAAGCTATTCCTAATTGGCTGACCTTCAGAAGTGAGAGGCTGAAGGTGATTGGCTTGCCAAGGCAAATTTTTTATTTTTTTGATAACTGCTTGTTACAATGGCTACAGAAAAATCATTCTTGTCAACGTGAGAACTTTAATTCTCAACGTCAAGTACGTGTAATTGCACAATGCAAGAATATACAGCAGGTCCTTGAGTAACATTTTAACATCATTTCATTATATTGTTGGCAAAGTGCTGTAGGAACTTAACTCTTGTTTATATCAAATATCCTTTGGTAAAATTGTTTCATTATATATTGTTTGGCTTAAAGTCACAGAACTTACTGATGACATTGAGGACTTACTGTATTTAATTATTTTTTTTGAAGTATAACTTAGAGTGAAGGGAGAAAATCTTAAGTGGAAAAGCCTAATAAATTTCTACATATGTATATACTTGTGTAACTACCACCAGTTCAAGATATAGCACATTTTCACCACTCCAGAACGTTCTTTATCCCCATGGGTTAGTTTTACCTGTCCTTGAATTTTATATACATGAAAGTATGTAGTATATATTATTTTATGTCTAGCTTTTTATATTCCTTCCAACATAATGCATGTGAGATTCATTCATGTTTTTGCACATATGAGTAATTGCTCTTTATTACTGTGTAGTATTCTATTTCGTGATTATACCACAATTCATTCGTGTATTCTCTTGGTAATTGACATTTGGGTCATTTCCAGTTTGGGGATATTATGGTTAAAGCTGCAGTGAACATTTTTGTACATCTTATTTTATTAACATAAGCACTCATTTCTCTTGGGTATATAGCTAGGAGTGAAATGGCTATGTCATTATGGTATGAGTTGTTTAGTTTTAAAAGACTTACTGAATAGTTTTTCAGAGTGGTTGAATCAGTTTGCACTCCACCAGCAATTTGATGAGTGTTTCAGATGCTCCACATCCTTGTTAACACTTTATCTAGGCCCTAAAGAATGTGTAGGGGTTTGATTGGGGACAGAGGTAAATGAGAAAGAATGCCTTCATTCTAGAGAGAGGGACTAGAATAAGCAAAGGCATAGAAACCTAAAAGTTTTGGCCTGTTTGGAGTATAGGCTATGTGATAGCAGCTGGAAATGATAGTGGAAAGCTAGCTGGGACCAGGTTAACTGTGTATTTCATGCTTAGAAATTTGGACTTTATAAGCAAGGTGAAATTGATAGTCAACAATAAATGTGTTTGGGTATTAGATTATAGAGTCTAGAGATAAAGGTATAGGCTTTAACTAAATGTTTTAATTGTTTTGGTTGTCTAGCTTACAGTGAAAGGTTTAAAAAGTATGTTAGTCATGTGCAAACTTAACTTTTCTACCATTTTTCTATGTTTGAATCTCAGGGAAACCTTTGGTTACATAATGCTCTGTCTCTATTTTGTGCAGATACATTCTTTAGGTATTAAGACTGCTTCTGTATTGGTTTAGAACAATTAAAGCAGTTCTACCTGGTGCTGATGCAATGATAAATATAAATGTAAACATGGTATCTGAAATTTTATAGTAGTGCATCTTTTTAAGTGATCCAAAAGATCTAGAATATGGCTTTAATTTTTTTAAATTATTCAGATTGAAAGCTAAAATTATAAATGTCTCAGTGAAATGAGATTGCTGTGAATCCATCTGAAAATTAGGAGAATCCTGTAAATCCAGTGTGAAAAATAAGGAGAACTCTAGAGATAAGTAATATCCCGATGTATAACCTCCACTAACTGAAGTCAGGTAAAGCAGTGGCAGAGTGAGAAGAAAAGCATACCATAGCAACAGCCCCTACAGTCTTTGGGGATTGTTTTAACAAAATTCTTCTGTGACTAGGACAAGATAGGCTACCACAAGAATGTGAGACCTCGTCAGAATTTACACAATGTGAGCTCCCTAGAGCAGTGGATCTCAAAGTGTCATTTCTGACCACCACTATGTTTGAAATGCCCTACCTCAGACCAATCAGAGAACGAGGTGGGTCTGTGTCTTAAGCCCTCCAGGGATTTCTAAAATTTGAAAACTGCTACCCTAAAAAGTGAGTTAAGGATAAAGAATTAAAGTCTGAACATGTCAGAATTTCAAATTTAAAAATTTTCTACTTCCTAACTTATTTGGCAAAACTAAGTTTTGCGTATATTTCAAGAAATATATAGTTTTGAGTGTCTGCTCAAAACATTGTTGAGTGAAAAACAATCGCAGAAGGATACATACTGTTTAAGTCCATTTATTTAAAGTTCAAAAAAACGCAAAACTAAAACTGTTAAGGATAGGTACATTTAAGGTAAAACTAAAGAAAAGTCAGAGAATGAGTAATTCAAAATTCAGTACAATGGGTACTTCTTTTTGGGAGGGAGATGCCCAATGAGGGACATGAGGGTACTAATAATCTCTTTCTTAAGGAGGGACATGCATTTGTGAGTGTTCATTTTATTCTTTAAGCAATAGTATAAACATGCTTTCTATGACAGATTTTACTTTGGGATAAAGGGCATTCTATTAGAGAAAACTTATTTAGTCACTCTAAGCAATGTCATGTTCTAAACATAGAACCTGGATGATATATGTGTATATATACACCTATATAATTACTTTTGTTCCTAGTATCTCATTCCTATCATTGTTCATTGTAGCGCCTTCTTAATAGGGTGATTATTTAATTTATGGCCTATACTGGGATACTTTAGACAATAAAGGGAAGGGAGGCTCAAAACTATATATTTCTTGAAATATTTGTTGACTAAGAAATTGGCTTTACTATATACAGTCATGTGCTGCTTAACAATAGGAATAAATTCTGAGAAATGTGTCATTAGGCGATGTCATCGTCATGCCGAACATCATAGAGTGCACTTACACTAACCTGGTTGGTATAGTCTCCTACACACCTAAGCTATATGGTTTAGCTTATTGCTCCTAGGCGGCTGCTGGTTGCATAACATGGCATACTGTTTTACAGCAAACTTCTTTTTTATAAGTAGAAAGAGTACACTCTAAAATAATGATAAAAAGTATAGTATAGTAAACACATAAATCAGGAACATAGTCGTTTATTATCATCAATTATCATGCACTGTACATAATTGTATGCGCTGTATTTATAAGACTGGCAATGCTGTGTGTTTACACCAGCATCACTACAAACAAATGCATTGCACTTTAACATTATACTGGTTACGATGTCACTAGGTGATAGAAATTTTTTAGCTCCTTTATAATCTTGTGGGACCACAGTTGGATCTGCAATCTGTCGTTAACAGAAATGTCATTATGTGGTGCACAACTGTACTGTAAACTTCAAGAAATTATGTTAAAACACATTTTAACATAATTTTAACATAAAAAACTTCTTTTGTATTGACTATCTAAACATTAAACATAAAACATTTTAACATTTTAACATAAAAAGTTCTTTTGTATTGATTGTCTAAATATTAAACATAAAACATTTTAACATTTTAACATAAAAAATTCTTTTGTATTGACTAAACATTAAAAACAGCATAAGCTAAATAATTATTCTTGACATATATTCATACGCTTTTTATCAATTTCTTACCCTCATCTGTCTCAAATACTGTCATTGTTATTTTTATGAAGGAAGTATTTTTTCAAAGTGGTTCCCTCCCCCGCTAAAATTGCCTGCCATCTTCTTTAAAATGGCATTTTATATGGTTAATATATTTAAAAGTGCTGATACCTTCCATTGAATCTTCTCTGCATGCTAGACTGTGTTATTTTTAATTGAGAAAATACACTCTCAGGATACTTGGTAAGCTTGCTGTCTTAAAGTTGAAAGTACAAAGTGGAGGTTTGCCAAAATTAGTAAATACAATAATGATAATAATTTGTTTTAAAAAAAATCCAGGATAACTGCTAAAGTTCCAGCAGAACAGGTGTCAGCCAGACGTGTTTTGGGCAACAACACAAAATGCCTGCAGTTTAACATCTGCATAAACACAGTTCTATTAATTTGCTTTTTACTAGACCCAGGTGGTTGCTAGTCACATCACTAGCTTACAGACCCCTGTGGTGAACCTTCCTTTCTTCTTAGGAGATGAAAACATAACAGCATCCATAAAATGTTACTGGTTTGAAAACAGAGGAAAATATGTTAGTTAAAATATTAAGTTGGGGAAACATGGGGGAGGGGAAAGTAAAGGAAATACAACTAAACTTTGAAGTACTGGGCGTTTTGTAGTCAAAAATTTAACCAAATCACTAAGTTTAAGGATCGTTTTCTAATTCACATAGGAACATTTAATGAGACAAAAATGATCCACATATATGGCTACAATTCATAGAAATGCTTTATTTTTACTTCACACTTTTTTGGGACTTATTTTAAGTATCTTCTCCCATGAAAGAGCCCTGTGGTATTGGGAAGGGTGCTGCTTATTGGGTTACCACATAGCTATTTGGGAGAGATCTACATGGTGAAGAAATGGTAAAGGTACTTACCTATAATCAGACCCTCCTGATCAACTGTGCCAGTTAGCGGATGACATATCCCAGCATGGTTTTGAGTATTTTACTGAAACATTTTCAGAATGCCATACTTTTTCCTTTAAAAATGCCTTTAAAAAAATTTTAATGCACCTTCAATAAAAATTTTTCCAATGCCAAAAGGCTACTCCTCCAATGGGGAGTGTAGTAACTACTAGTAATAGTAATTTCTGTATTGAGTCAAAAAATAATGTTCCTCTAAGCAATTTACAGTAAAACAACTGTATCTTAAACATATTGTATTTAAGTACAGTATTGTAGCAATCATTCGAAAGTCATTGATGGAAAAAAATGTATTTTGGCATACATTATAAGTTTTTTCCTCCTAAAACTCAGTTATCAGGAAATCTAAATTCTATCAAGTAGACATTTTAATGGATTTAAATTTTATTCCTTCCTCCCTCTCTTTTATCCTAGGTTTTTGTTTGGTTTTTGTTTTGTCAACAAATGACAAAAGGTATTGAATGATCCATAGAAAGGGGTAGTGTGCGAGATATGGTCAAAGAATATATAACATGTGGCAATTATATTTCGTTTAACCTAATAATAGATCTAAGTAGGTGGAGATATTTAAAATTTTTTTTTTGTTTCTTCTCTCTAAAGCTTTAAAGAAAAGTAGAAATCACTTCTGACTGTACTGAATAGCAAAAACTAAGTGACATTGCAAACCATGGCACTGGCATTCCGGAAGGACTTAGAAAAATACAAAGACCTCGATGAAGATGAGCTCCTTGGGAATCTATCAGAAATAGAACTGAAACAACTGGAAACTGTTTTGGATGATCTTGACCCTGAGGTAGGTGCTAGCTAATCAAGAGAAATGAAATAATTTTTCAAAGCCTTTGAAACTAAGTAGCTGTCTTTGAGCAGTTAGCTTTTCCATGACTTTTTCCCTGGTACCTCTTTATCCAAATAAACTTTTTGCCTTCTCTCTGGTTCCTCCACTTCTCTCTCCATATCTTTACTGACATGACTGTTTTAAACTGCTTTTCTCCAACATCCTTATTTTCAAAGATCTCCAAAAATTTTCTCTACTGTAAGAAATAGTTTCTCTCTGGGCAGGGAGAAATGTTTTTGTTAAAGTACAGCAGATGATTAGCTCTTTGTATGCTGACCTCTGTGCCTCTTCAGAGCTGCCTACCAGGATGGCTGCTGTGTAGAGTGTCTCTGCAAGGTTCTTTGTGACTCTGAATCTGATTGTCACCTTTCTAAAAAATGCTGACCAATTTGAGTAAGTTCCTAGTCATTGGTAGACTAATCTAAGGAGACTCTCAGCAATACTGCAATCCATGTGGAGCAGACCTGAATATATATGATGTTTTAATTTGCAAAATGGATGTTGTTTGTCTCATAAATTACACAGGCTAAGTAGAGACCTTTGACCCTTGAATTGTTATTCCCTGGTACATATGGCGGGGCGGGGGTGGCGGGGGGGGTGAGCAGTGAGGGGAGAACCCTATTTAACCTGAAGGTAATGGTTATTTGCTAGGCTTCTTTTCTTTACCAAGTTTTTTTATGCCAAGACATTGATTTTTAGTGCGTTCTAGGATTGAGACAGAGTTGTTTTATAAAATTGTTCTTGTTACTATTACACATTCATTTCCTGCTGGGATGTTTTTTAATTTTTATTGAGAATTAAATACACTCCTATTCTCAGCATTACTTTAGCACTTGGATAATGTATCTGTACCATAGTTCAAATCCCTTAACTGTAATTGTTTTTATAAAGAAAAGTCTTCAATACACCTAAATCTAGTTAAAAACTCAGGATAACAGTGCTATTTTGATCATGTCACAGCAATACCTTCTATACTCAATTCAACCTAATTATGACCATTAACTTAAAGTATACTTAAAGTAACAAAGCTTGGTTCATGGGTTTATAGCCTCCAAAGCCAGTTAGCTGTCATTTATTTCGTGGTCAGAGACTGTATTTAACGAGCCGGGAGTCTAGCTAACCTATCATTTAAAACCTGTATGTTTCACATGGGCTTGAGCAGGCGGATGGAATGAAGCAACTCCATCACTACTACCAAGAAATAGCAGTATGTACATGACTACCTTTTTGATGGTGAAGGGAAGTAACTTATTAAAATTTGCCTTAGCATTTTTCTTTAAAAGTATTCTCAAATCTTTATTCAAGGGAGTGCAACCTCTAGATCCTAGGTACTATAGTGGGCTTAGGAATACAAAAGTGAGCCAAACAAATGTGGTAGAAGTTGGAGGAGTTAGACATTAATCAAATAATCATGCCATGTCAGTATGAGAGAATATAATGGGAAGTCAGGAAAAGTTTCCCTTGAGAGAATGAAACTGCAGTCTGAAAAATGAGTAGCAAAAAGGAATGGACAGAGCATTCCAAGGAAGGCCTTGTGGTAGAAGGAAGTATATGGCAAGTACAGGGGGCAACGAGGGCTAGTGTGGCAAGAATGGAGAGGATGTGAGATTAGGTGGGGTAACATTGTGACGTGGGAGTGAGGGATGAAGAATATCTGGAACTAATCCTGGGTGACCAGGAGGCTAATGTTTGAACCTAAAATAATGATATTGGAGATGGAGGAAAGTAAACAGACTAATGAGTATTTTAGGAAGTAAAAATGAATAGATTTGATGGTCGATTGGGAATGGATTCCTCACATGTAGCTCTTGTCTTGATTTCAAAGTCTGAGGGTAGAAATCTTGTGTTTCTTTGTAACACAATTTTGTGTTACAAAAACATTCTTGGGACAGGATTAGTAATAGACCTCCTTTGTGTTTCATCTTTATAGATGACCTTTCCGTATAAAGCATATCATTACATGAAAACACAAAAGTGAATTTTATGAAAATTATTATGGGTCTCAGCAAATCACCAAAGTTGAAGTACTATATTTTCTAGTAATAAAATTAATGTTTGTTTCTATTATCATCCATATAAAATCATCCTTCGTAATGAAAAATTATAATACTCATGAGATACACCATCATTGCCATATTGCAAAAGAGGATTGGCCCTTTTGTGTGACTTCTCTGGCTGCCTCCCATTTTCAAAGCAAAGGAATACCCAGGAGTAGTGCGACAAGTCGAGATCACCTCTTGGCTTTTGACAAGCAAAAAGATGGAACTCACGTTGTCTAGTCAGCATTTGTTATTCCCGAGCTTAGTAAAAATTCAGAATAGGGACGACAGGAGACAACTTCAATCCATCACCTCCCACCCCTCCCCCGCTCTCAGTCATTCCATGCACTCAAAAAGACCATGGCCATCTAAAATCCAGGAACATAACTCTTGCTATGAGTATCTTAGGGTGCCTTGGTGCATGAGTAGCATGATAGTGGTTGCTGCAGATACATCCTAGTGTTGATATAGATGCACATGCATACACATAGAAGTTGAACCTTTCATATTGTGTTTAAATGCAAACAAACATTGATCTCTCAATATTCTACTTTGTGGTGTACATGTTTTTATTATGAGAAAGTCTTTACAGTAAAACAAGTCATTATAAAGGACTATGATGTTTATAGTCATTTAACATTCTTTTGTAATGAAATTATTTTCTGTATATACATATATGCTGAGCTGTTATTAAGCGTTAAACTTAATAACTATTTTTTACCATCCCAGGACATTTTAGAAATAAAGATGTTCCTGCTAGTAGAATGCTTTCTGAAGAAAATACGTATGTGCCTATTTTAGTAGTAATATAAGTGAATTTTACCTAATTAAAAAAAAACCAAAAACTTTTTTTGGAACACTTTACATTGCTGCTGTAAAATTCTGTAATGCACTGTTTAATGCTTGTATCACATTCTGGTCTGTAATTCTTTTTTACCTGGGTAGTCTGTAGAAGCATATAACGTTGGCATTCTTGGTGGTCATAATGGCTGCTTCATTCTCTCTGGCAGAATGCCCTTCTGCCTGCAGGGTTCCGGCAGAAGAACCAGACATCAAAGTCCGCCACAGGTCCATTTGATAGAGAACACCTCCTTTCCTATCTGGAGAAAGAAGCTTTGGAGCATAAGGACAGGGAAGACTATGTGCCCTACACTGGTGAAAAAAAAGGTAAACACAGGATTTGGAAGTCATTATTTGATAGCACTTAATTTTTCTTTTTATAGATAAGTCTGAAGAAAATCATAGTTTTAGAGGTGCATCATTGATAGCCTTAAAGATTAGTGTCGACTTAAAAAATCGTTAGGTAATACTTTAAAAATTGTTAATTAATTTGGGTACTTCGTTCACATTTTTCATCAATGTGGCCAATAAGTTCCTTCTTAATGATGTGTTAGTGAGGTTTTATTACACAGTGATTTTATATAACACTCTTTAGTTCTTTACTGTAATAAATATTGAAAGTGTACTGAGGTAAAATTTTTAACTCATTAGTGTATTACAGAATGCAGATGATGTCAAAGCACTGCTCTCTTCTAACGCACGTCATTGCAATGGAATGCCATAAAATAATTCAGGCCATATTTTCAAAGACCCTTTTTAAAGAATATCGTACAGCCTTTCTTAGTAATTCATAGTTAAAAATGTCAACGCTTCATAATCATTACTTTCAGGAAATTTTTCTAGTCCAAGTTTTTCCCGTTACAGATTTTGACTTTAGGTAGCCTCAGTGGAGCCTGAATACAGCTACGTTTTTTAAAGGCTCTATATGTAATAATATTTAACACGACTTGGGTTAAGTTTTCAGTTTTCAGTACAGTTCAACCTGAGAAGCCACATTCTGTTTGCACTCTTATTTAGGATACCGTGTGTAGAACACTGGGAAATGGTGGCAGTAGTAGTGTGGAGCCACAGGTCAACTCTTTCAGGCACTTTTTACATCTCAATCCTTAGTAGTCCAGGCAGCAGGAGGCCTTTTTCCTAGTGAGGCGTTAGCTTTTTATTTGGGAAGGAAGCCCTTCTCAAAAATTTGGCCAAAACTCTGTCACATGGCTACCCCTAAACTGTAAGAGAAGCCAGAAATTTTATTTTAGCATTCCAGCCTCTGTCATAGAGGAAGACTAGTGAATGACTTTTGAGTATGTATTCCACAAAGTCTGTATCAGGCTCTTTAAAAGTGATCTGTCATCCCCAACCCCTCTGCTCTTTCTGTAGACCCCATCTCCCTGCCCCCATTTCTAGTTCAGAATCACTACCTTAGATAGTTGTATGAGTCATGGTTCTCCAGAGAAACAGAACCAAAAGCATGTGTGTGAGTAGAGAGAGAGAGATTTATTTTAAGAAATTGGCTCATGTGATTGTGAAGGCTTAATAAGTCCAAAATCTGTAGGCCTGGCCGACAGGCTAGAGACCTAGGGAAGAGTTGAGTTTGAGTCCAAAGGCCGACTGCTGACAGAATTCTTTCTTGCTGAGAGGATGTCAGTCTGTTCTGTTGAGGCCTTCAGCTGATTGGATGAGGCCTACCACATTATGGCTTTACTCAAAGTCCACTGATTTAAATGTTAACCTCATTCAGAAATGCCTTCATAGAAACAAACTGTATTTGACCGTGTATCTGAGCACCAAGCCAAGCTACCTTGGCACATGAAATTAACCATCACTCTACTCTTAGAGTTGGGAATATCGTGTTCCTCAGGTGTTTGGGGCCAGAAAAAGATTGGAAATTAATGCATAGTTTTGAAGTATAGAGAATCACAAAAATAGGCAAAAACATCAGTTCCTTTGTATTTATCATAGAAAACAACTGCTGGCTATATTTTCATCTGCACAGCCATACCTATAACACTATTTAAAGCTTCAATCCTTTTTACATAGGAGAACATAATTTTACAAGAATAAATATTGATTGATCACTTTTTACTGTTATGTGTGTTTCAGGGGGTATAGTTAGGAAAAAGAACAGAGGTAGAAACAGAGGGAGAGGTATAAGAAAAAGATGACAGGGGAAAAGAAGTGGAATTTGAGGACAAAAAGGGAAAATACAAGATGCGAAAGAGCTGCATTTGTCCTAGGCTGACCCAGTAAGCTTCCCAGTGTGCTCTTGTTTCATAATC